TTCTTTTATAGATGAAATCTATTAGGATTTCTTGGATACTTATAAAACATAACTTCACCTTCTACAACTAGGTGCCCAATGCATTTCCAAGTAAGACAACATATAAAATGACAATGTAGTTGAAAAAAATATATATATCATAAAAAAAAAAAAATCTAAAAGTAGTATTTTAATAAAATTGACTTGTGATCATAAAATTGGATAGCTTTAAGGTTGAAATTTGATCACCAATTGTACTTAATTGATAAATCCTCAAAACTTTGATTTTATACCATCAAATTTCTTGGATAAGGTAACTATTGGTTTTCTAATGCTTAAATGATATTCCTCCATAGGAAAAGAAATATGATTTGGTGTAGATGTTGAAGCAATTCCAATCATCTCTATATCTTCACTTTCTACCAATCTTGTTGCTCTTTGTGGTAGTAAATTAAATTAATATATTATAATTATTTTTTTAATTACTCTTACATTTGTATCATTACATTCTTCATTTCAATAAGTTTTTCCATGATAACACAATAGAAAAAAAGATGTCTAATATTGCTTAAGATAAGTAAAAGAAAAGACTTAAAAATAAATAAAAATTCAAAAACAATCTCATTTTAGAAGTAGATAATTTATAACTTCTAATATGCTTATATCTTATCAAAAAATATGAATAATTCGCTCTTAATATTAAAAAAAAAAAAAAAAAAAAAAAAAAAAAAAAAAAAAAAAAACTATAAATCTTTGATATTATAAGTATATTCTTGTCAATGTATGAAAGATAAGAACTTCAAGGAGATACGTAAATAATTGAGATGTGTATCAAAGTGATAACAAAATGAAAATAAGAAAGTATATATATTTAAGAAGAAATTAGAATAGTTATTGCCAAAGATTAGAAAAACTAAAGTTTCTTGAAACTAGCCTAGATAAAAGAAAGAAGTTGACAAGAATGAAGAAGGCCTCATTTTTGGTTCTATATATATTATTTAACAAAAAGCTACATTATGGAATTCTATAGGACTTCCAACACATGTCCAACTTGTAAGACATGTGTTTAACTTGTAAGACAAGTTTTCTATATGTATGCTACATGTTAAACTTATATTGTAAGTAACCAACATGTGCAATATATGGCCAACTTATTTACTAAGTTTTCAATCTTTTAATCATCTATAGACATGTATAAAAGCAAATCTACATCTATGAAGCTTCTAAAAAGCTATTCTGTAAAATATTATCAAATCTAATTATTTTTAATTATTTCTTATTATTCATATTATTTAGATAATTATAGAAGTAAATAAGATGTCCATCACATATGGTGGCTATGGTTCTAAGAGAAGGCAATTTATACATAATCAATTATAAGAAAATAAATGAAGTAGAAGTGACGACATTTGCTCAATTTCTATCAAATCAAGATAAATTGAACTTTTGATATTATTGCCCTAGTCATTATAATGTAAAGAAAATGAAATATCTTTAAATTATGGTAAGTGATTTGGACTTAGGTTTGAATATAATGGATGTTACTTGTAAAGAATGCATTCAAAGTAAGCAAAAAAAAACTTTATTTCAAATTTAGTAGAATAATATATGCTTTCAAAGTATTAAAAGATAATAGAATTGAATGTTTTCAAATCTATAAATAATACATTTATAGGTGGATTAAGTAATTTATTACTTTTATTAAAAATTATTGAAAAAAATTGCGGATTTATTTATCTAATTCAAATAATAAATACTTTACTAAGTTTCAATAATTTAAGGTATTTATTAAAAAGAAATTAAAAAATTAAATCAAGTTGTTGTTCATGAACAATCAAGGTAAGTTTTGACTAAGTAATTTAATATGTTATTGAAGAATAAAGGCATTGTAAGGCAAATCTTCACTTTATACATTCTATAATAAAATAAAATTACTAAATATGATAATTATATTATTATAAAGATGGTAAAGAGCATATTACATACCTAATATTTAGGCATGAATTTTGGACAAAAGCCATGAATAAAGCATGAATGTATTGCAAATGCAAAGCTATCAAATTTTTTGAAGATTCAAATTAATGTAAAAAGTATCTAGTATATTTTTTTGAATATTTTGAAGGAATTAAAGTTTATAGGTTCATATGTTTCTAAATTAAAAAAAATTATCAAATATAATAATATTAAATTTTTAGAATATAAGAATACTTATGAGTTCTTTGAGATGTATCGAAGTAGAAGTAATATTGTTATTGTAGAAACTTGTATTATTTTTATTACTCTATATAAAAAAGAGCTTATTGGAAAAAAAAAAAAAAAAAGATAAAGAAATGAAGGCTAATTCTTAGATTACTTCATTTTTTTAAAAGATTAAAAAAATATTAAATTTAATCTCTTAGAAAGAAAAAATAAGTATAAAAAAGACCAATCTTCAAATAAAAAAATATATTTTATGAGAGAAATAAGAAATCTTAGTAAATGATAGAAGATTTATATCTTTTCAAGTAAGTAATAAACATACTAATATTATTTTTTTGATAATTATTCTTTGATATTATATGATGTTATAAATTCCATGGATACAAGTCAATAGAAAAAAAGACCATTAAAAAAGAGTTCAAATTTCTTGTAGATAATGACATAAAGAAATTAAATCTATTTTCTTCAAATTGTAAAATTATTGCTTGTAAGTAGGTATTTAAAACTAAAAAAGATGTAATGGATGTAGTGGTGAGATATAAAATAAGGTTAGTTGATAAAGAATATTTATAAGTAAATGGCGTTTATTTCAATGAAACATTTGTAAATATTGCCAAATTTACTACCAATAGAACCATTCTTGCATTTGTAGTAACAACTGACTTAAAAATATACCAAATAGATGTGCAAACAAATTCTTGAATAGAAAATTAAAAGAAGATATATACTTGGATCAACACCAATGGTTTGTACAAAGAAATGAGAACTTTAATACTTGTTAAAAAGAAATCATTACATAAGTTTAAATAATTTCTAAAAGCATAGTATTAATATATTAATAAATTCTTTGTAAAAAAATATTTATAAGAAGTGAAATGGATCATTCATATTATGTCATAGAATCAAAAAAATGTTTATTGATTGTAATCCTCTATGTTTATGATTTTATCATCATAGCAAACACTATCAAGAGTATAGAGTAGATGAAAGAAAAAAAAAAAAAAACAAAACAAAACAAAACAAAACAAAACAAAAAAAGATGAATAATATAAGAGAGTTGTACTATTGTCTTAGAATTACTTTGCTAGAGATAGTACCAAATATACTATTACAATGAATAAAGGCAAGCTTTTTGAATAAGTCTTATAAACTTATTATTTTTTTTTTAAGTCAACTTGAAGTTGGTAAAATTATAAGAAGAAGAATTTGTACAAATTAAAGATGAAATAGAATGTATTCTATTGAAGGCAATAGTTGGTACACTTTTGTATACAACGATGGCCTCAAAAATAGATCTTACATATGCAATGAATGTTGTGGATCAATAAATATTTAAGATTGGTCTTATACATTAAATGATAGTGAAAATAATCATGAGATACTTAAAAGGCATAATAGACTTCAAAATATGCCTTGGTAGTAAAAATATTCATTTGTAAGGTTATTATAATGCAGATTAAGCTAAAGATGTAAGTAATAAAAGCTCTACTACAAAATATGTGTTCTTTGTTGAAATATGAGTTATTTCATAGAATTACATGAAATAATCAACTATTGCAAAATCAACTAGGAAGACGGAATATATGATAAAAAGTCATTAAGCAATAGAAGCTTATTGAATAAGATGACTTTTGAAATACATTGAACTTATACAAATGCATACAATTCTAATAAAGTGTAATAATAAAACATGCCTTCTTTTTGCAAAGAATCCAAAATAACACTTCCATATAAAATATATTGATATTTGATATTATTTTATAAAAAAGATGATTATAATAATAATAATAATAATAATAATAAATATAATAATAAATATAAAACATTTTATAACAAAAGATAATGTAGTGGATTTATTAACAAAAGCACTTATAAAGGAATGGGATGTAAAGTTGATAAAGGCAATAGATTTAAAGGCTTTAGAATACTTACAAAGTAGAAGTATTGAAGTAATAGGAATTATGGCAAGATAAATAGCTTTTATTATAATAAGTTAATAATTATCATAGATTATATATAGGTTTGGAGTATGAGTTAGGATCTTATTGAGAATAAGATAAGATCTTAATGTGAATAGAATATGATCTTATTGTAGTAGATAGAATCTTAAAGGACCAAATTTAAGACATCTTAAGTTATACCTACTACCTATAAGTAACAAGTTATAGAAGTGAGAGATATCCTATTCCACATATTATCTTGCATCCTTGTATTTTTGGTGAAATTTTGCTTCTAATTATTATGTTCTTTTATAAAAACCACAACCAAAATTTGTAAGATATTTGTCAAAAAAACCACGTTTTTTTTTTTTTTTTTTTTTTGAATCATGAACATTTGTTACTAAGCTTAATGTTTGTTCATAATATATTTTATACATAAAGATTAAAGCTTATATGTTCATCATGTGTTTCTTCTATCATGTATTTAAGTTGGTTTGATAGATCAATTCCTCGCAAAAACTAATTTAGTTCAGTTGGTTTGATAGATCAATTCCTCACAAAAACTAATTTAGTTCATGATCTTGCCAAGTCGATTGTTGGCTATGGCCCCAAAAATAATACATGTAAGCAGAAATAATTCTTGTAGGCATAGGGGAGATTCAACATTGTTCAAAGCCAATAAGATCAACTTGATTAACAAATAGGTGATCTGCACTTCCTGAAGTTCATTCTCAAACCTCCTACTCAGATTCTGTAAAACCTCATTCATCAACTACTACTCACAACTTCATGCCTGTCTTAGTTGCGTGATGGTTTGCTTCTATGCAGTTGGACTTGACTTGACTGTGTATACTGCAAATGACACCTCAGCATTAGTCCATGTAAAGCCAAACCGTAGATTTTGCTATTGTACAAATCTCGTTTCATTATTCTTCGAACAAGCTTGATCAGTAAACTCTCTTCCTGAGTACGACCAACACCGACAGCAGTCTTATCAGCAGTCTCAATCCAAATGTTTATCCAAAATCTCTGCTTTTACAATCTCAACAATTTTACACATATTTGTCTTGCTTCTAAACTCCTGCACAACTTTGAGCTCCAGTGGGAATCATCACAGAGCAGTCTTTCAAGGGACAATTTTGGGACTTCTCACAGCCATGGCTACCCTTGTCCCTTCATCAGCGATGTGTTGCATACTTTCAATGAGACGCAAGGAATACTCTCCGTGAACAAAGAATCAAATATGGCCGCAACCGATAAGCTTGTTCATCTTGTGGAGAGGAGGACCATTACACAAGCGTGGCAGACGAGAGAGGCATTCAAAGGCGGTGGAGGAACCTCTTCACTGTTTTGGGAGTCATGAATCACTTCGGGGATGACCAACGTGTGCCCGAGGTCTTCCTTGAACTCCACCACGACCGATCCCGGCACAACGGCGTCTTTCCGAGTGACAAGCCCATCGCTCTCCGCCCCTGGATACCTTGACAAGATGTACTTGGACATATAAGCCATCTGCTTCCCCAGCTGCATCTCTAGTGGCACTTCCAGCCGCCCATTGAGGAAGTTCTCTTTCAACATGTATTTTTTGAATCGAGCCTTGGAATCTGGTGGGAAATTAGAGTGTAAACAGAGTATTGGCACATCCCTTGGCATAGGGTACTCTTTCAGAAAATCGCGGCGGTTTTTGTACGTCAGGTCTCTGACAGCATCAACAGTTCCCTGCAAATGCCATAGTCAAATTAAAGTTTATGACATCCCAGTGTCAGGTTGCTTCATTGCAGGCATGTGCACAAGTTTGAGCGGTGAGTTTAAGGTACTTACATTTGGATTTGAGAAACTTGCAAGTTTTCCCAAGAGAAGGGAATTTAAAACTCCAAATTGGCCTTCACTCAGAAGGTCTGCAGCAAGGGGCGTCCCTCCATACGGTGCTTGCAGCATGAGTAGTCCCCGGACCTTGTCTTTCAGTTCAGGCCAATACATGGCACACGCGGCTGCCGCATCCGTGCCTCCCTTGGAATGCCCCAACAAGACCACTTTCTTCCCGAACTGCTCATATTGGCTTAAGACTATGTCCCTAATCACTGCTGCGTTGGATTTCACAGAGCCCTGTGCTTCCAGGCGCAGGCCATGGCCACTGAAGTAAGTTATAATAGCTGGAAACACAACCATTTCTTGCGAAGATGAATGCTGAATCATCAAGTTAAATGAGGGTAGTAATTAGCATATGCTTGAAGGGTACCTCTGTGTTAATGTTTGCAAACTCACATTGCAGACAGAGGACATCCTTGAAGTAAGCAAGTATTTCCCGAAAATATGTGGGATAGGAATTGGTAAAAAGACCTGGAAGAAGCAAGGAGACCGAATGAATTCATCTGATGCTTAAACCCCTTCCCAACTTTCGTCACAAACTCGAAACCCCCAGGTTCAGGGTTACAATTCTTCGTTTACCTGGCACCAGAAGATACGAAAATCCCAACAGAGGCACGTTGCCACTTCCAAATGGCTCAATCCTGATCACACAGCACATTAGAAGAGAGCTAAACATATTGCACATAGTTCAGAAATCTCGCGATTAAGATCATTTTTTCCAGCAAATAAGACTTGGCGTTCTCACTTGAGCGTGTCCCAAATACTATAGAAGAGCTCGGTCTCATCTTGAACGGGGTCACCATCAATGTTCATAACCCAGCCAATATCGCTCACCGAGCCCTTACGATGAATAAGCTCGCCCAGCTTCTTCTTCACAGTTTTCAAACTGAGGCTGAAAATCCAACCCACAACCACGTTCGAAAAGAATTCAACGACCTTGCACTCAAAAGTCGCTAAAAATACAAAAAACAGGAGGAATAGTAATACTACAAATAAGATAAATTCTGTAGAAGAAAGGGAATGCACTAAAGGAAGGAAACCTATGAGCAGGAACTTCAACAGTGGCTTCCGCTTCGACGCCTTGGCTCTCTGTTTTATTAACCCACTTCCCTTTCAACGTGACCATCTTCTCTAACCAAATATAAGGATCCATCTCGGAGAGAACTCTACAACCTAAGAGGGAATGAGCACTACAGGCTACGCAACCAAAAACCCACAAACCTAAACAGTTACCACGATCAGTTTCCCCCTGCAAGCCATCTGAACCAACAATCACGACCACCACCACCGGCAACTGCAAATGCAACGACGCGTTTTGCGATGGAAGAGACTGTCGAGGTTTTCGGAGCCAGAGTGAGTGTGGCAGATGGCTCAGTTTCGTCGAAAGCGTTGACAGGGTCCCCGGTCAGCGGGTGCTGATCGCTCGGTCGGGCTGGCCCGATTCGCTTCTGAAGTTCTAAACAAAGTATTCTGCCCTTACTTTTCGTGTCGTCGTGTTTTGTTTTGGCTTATTACTTTCTTCGTTTAATTGCCAAAATACTTTGAACAATAATGAATTTCTGATATGCCACCATAAAGCTATTAGTAGACGACTAATAAGAACCTTCATTGTTACAGGCGTCTGGTTTGATTGCCTTATAATAGAACATGGTTTGACATTTTCTCTACTTAGCCTTTCATCCTGACGTAGACTGCAATTGTGACACACACACACCCATCTATATATATATATATATATATACATATACATACACATATCTAAAACATGTTGAACAACTACATATTAGAGATCAATGCCCACCAGCCAATCAGAAAGCACTATTAATTCGAGTTTTAACTTGTGTTCATTTTCCATTTGAAGTTGTGAAAGGTCAACAAAAGATGGGTCATACATTAACGTTGAAATACATTAAACGATGTCATGCCCCTCGACCAACCCCTAGACCTTACCTAAATCGCCCTTGCATAAACCCAAAACCGCCCGTTTTTCTTGTGAACTGTGCAATTTAGGGTGATGGAAGCGCATGGTTTTGCTCTACAACTTGGTTCAAGGGTAAAATGCAAAAATTGCTTTTTACCAATTCAATCACAGCATAGATTCAATTTTATTTTCTTCTGGAGCACATCAAAACTTTATTTCTCCACCAAAAACAATTTTTTTCAACCCAACCCCCCACGATAGCTGAAAAACCTTAAGATGACAATATAAGGTGTTCCGACGTTAGTTTTCCTTATGAAATGATTAAATATTAACTGCATGTATGCTTTTTCAGAATCTAGGTCTGTTTACTTCCTTCATTTGATTTTGTATGTTTCTACTTCTCCGCAGCATTTCAAATCAAAAATAAAAGAAAAAGAAAAAGTAAAAAAGACAATTTATTGGTCTTATCCGAGTTCTTGGATGCTTTTTCCGAATCAATGAGGACCCAGAAACTGGATAGAAGTTCCTCCTTCAAGGAATCTACTCTCAAGGCCAATAAGAAATCACCCTGGCACCCACTTGAGCTGGCATATTCATGTGGCAAGGATCACGTTCTGAATAACTCTATGAACAGTCAACCATTCATTCGTTCACCACCGACTCCTGAACGAATGAAGAATGGTGGACACTTCCTGTCTGTTTTGTTACGTGTTTCTAATGAGGTCCTGATCGAGGTCTGTAGGATGGGCAGTGTGATAGGTTATGCCAGCTGTCACCGACCAACCGGGACGTAGTTTCAGCAGATGGAATCCAGCCTCGCTCCATGCTATTTCGTGGTACACTATGACCGTCTTATTAATAATGCTATTATACAAACAAACAACTGAAAAATCATTTAAATGTGTCAATCTCATGATAATGCACTAAAGTAGTCTAATGATTAGAATTTGTAAAAGAAATCAACTTTATTCATAATATATTGAGATGTAACGAGTAAAAGATTGAGTTTCATAAGAGGTGCTATTGTTGCTCTAAATTGTATTTAATTTTTTTGTAACATGGATTGCTATGGGCTCTGCCACATTACCAAATGACTATGGCATTTTATACCTATCTTCATGATATTAGTAATAACATCATGTAAATGCATTCAAGCAAGAAGCCAAAGTTTTAATATTTACAATTATAAGTTGTGATATTTAATAATAAAATTTGAACTTGTAAAAGGCTAATTTAATCTAGAAAGAGAATATACAATAATATGAACATTGCTCTTAGTTTGATTGATAAACACAATATGCTAATAATGCATAAGACAAATTGATTGCTTTTATTCTTCTAAGCACATTCAATGTTAATACCTACCTTTGTTATAGACAGACATAATTACCTACATAAGAAGTATTATGTAGACATAGATTTGATAATATATTGTAGAAAAGCTTCATAAATGCTTTATAGATGTAGATTTGATTTTAAACTTATTTGTAATTCATTGGTAGGCTAGAAATTTGGCCAACAAGTTGGATATATGTCGTACATATTGGTGACATGTTAGATTTCTTCCATGTGCTCCACATAGCCAACATGTATCTAATTTACTCTATTAGTTCACTCTTATTAATGCCTTTCTTATTCTTAGTCTTATTTAAAGAATTTTTTAATCTTCTAGTCTTTTATAATAGCCATTATAGTTTTAATATTATATTACTTTTGAGTAAATATCTACTATTTTTTAGTGCCACAAAAGTGTATTAAAGATTTTATTGTTTGTACTTCATATTATTGATAATTTGATAAAAGTGTTAATTCATTGTTTTTGTTTTATTTTAGAAATAAGTGGATTAACATTTTTCTCAAAAAGAGTATACTACTTTTCTTCATAAAAGTTTTTATTTGATATTAGAGATTACAGATTATCTTCATCTAATTTGACTTGTGGATTTGATAAATTTTCTAAATATGGAAGAAAAAACTATAGATGCTACACTTGGCAAAAGTGAGAATAGATTTACAACCATTGCAAATCTTTATAAGCTTGTGAATATTCTTAGAGTGGAAATTTTATGTATTATCAATATTAATTATAGAAATATTATTTCTACACTTGTAGAAGAAATTAATCATGAAGTTCAAAGTTTATGCCAAGAACTTATACAATTGTGAAAAAAAAGTAGATTATTCTTACAATTGAATCCAAGGAATTTTGCTATTATAAGTACAAAAGAAACAAGGATAAGTATGCCACAAAAGTTTGATGGAACAAAATCAAAATTTTAAGCATTTTTACAACAACTAAAGTTCTATGTAAGATTACATCATGCCTAATATTTTGATAGATATACTCAAGTTAGATTTATAGGTGCACTTCTATGTTAAAGTGTTTTTTCTTAATTTTTATTTTTAATAGATAAATATGTACAACTACTCTATAATCTAAATTCATTCTTAAAAGTATTTATGGCTGTATTTAAAAAAATGATTGAAAAAGAACAGTAGAAACCAAACTTCTATCTTTACAAAAAGAATCATATTCAACTACCATATATATTACTAAATTCTAAAACCTTGCTTGCAATATGGATTGCAATGACAAAGTTCTTAGGAAACAATTTTAATATGGATTTAAAGATGAAGTCAAAATTTATTCTTAATATTATCAAAAGAAAATTATTGAAATAATTTATTACTTCAGTCATTATATGCAATAATTTGTTTTAAAAAAGATACAAAGCATACATGTTTGATTGAAGAAATATAAATCAAGTGATAGCAAAAACACATGAGTTTTTAGAAACTTATTCATCAAGGCCAAAACCAATGTAAATTAATATAAGCACAATCTTTATTGACAACATCATATTTTTTCTTGCTAATTAATAAATTTAAAAATATTTCTTAACATTATCTACAAAAGCAACACAATTACAAAATAAAAAAATATGGTTGCTAAAGAGGATCTATCAAAAAATAAGTTTGTCTAATTACAATAAAGACCATGCAACTAAATCTTGTACACTATCTAATAAAGGTCATATTTTCTTCTCAAATTCTTCACCTTGCTTTACAATAGATATTGATTTAGGACCAAAAAATTACAAAGTCTTTATCTTATTACATTTCAAAGCATCAATTTTCTTATAAAAAAAGATTACATTAAAAAAATAAAATTATTTTAATTAAGAAAATCAAACTCATGTATATAAAAATCATAGATGGTCATTTGTTATCTTTTGAAGATGTTATCAATGAAACTATTTGTTTAGATATAGTAACTAAAGGACATAATAATTTAATAATATTTAATATGATTAAATTTCTTTCAAATCTAATAATTATAGGTTTATCATGATTATAGAAGTATAATCATCAAATAGAATAGATTTCTTGTAACTTTGAATTTTTTTGTAATTTAATTCAAAAATTGGTTATCTAAATAAAAAGTTACAAGTTCAATACAAAACAATTCTTATTAGTAGATACAAGAGCTTTGATGTATGCTACAAAAAAATGGTCAATTTTTGTTATTTATGCTATGACCATTTTTGATAATAAAAGGACTTTAAGTGGTATTTTAAGATAGTATGGAGATTATCAAGATATTTTTTAAAAAATATATATAAATATTTTTTTAAAGCATTTCTTTTATAATTATTCAATTGATCTTTAAAAATGAGTTCAATTACCATTTGGATCAATTTATAGCTTATTATAAAATAAGTTGGCCGCACTCAAAGAATACATTGATAAGTACTTAGTTAAGGACTTTATATGCCATTTAAAATCTCCACCAAAAATCCTTATTTTATTTGTAAAATAAAATAACTAATTACTATGGATGTGTGCAGACTATCAAAGATTTAATAGGATCACCATGAAGAATAAATATCCTCTATCTTTGATATCATGACTTCTTGACCAACTCAATCAAACAAAGTTCTATAATAAATAATATCTACAAGAAATATATAATTTAGTATACATGAAAAAAAGATCTGAATAAAAGACTATATTTTAAACTAAGTATGGTCATTTTAAATATAATATCATGCCTTTTAGACTCAAAAATGTACTAACTATTTTTCAACATCTAATAAATAATTTTTTAAAAGTTTTTTTTAATTATTTAATTATTTTTTATCTAAAAAATATTCAAATCTACTCTAAGAACATAGAAGAATATGAATATTACATTTTTTTTATGTTACAAAAACTTAAAGATGTAGGACTACACACTAAGATAAAAAAAAAAAAAAAAAAAAAAAAAAATCTTTCATATTATTCAAATTAACTTCTTAGGATATATCATTTCAAATAATAGCCTTATGATGGATCCTAAGAAATTTGAAACTATTATAAATTATTTATAAAGATTACTTCAAGTCTAATGATTATTTATAAAAATTAGAAGAATTTTAAGTATTTTAT